GGTAATCCTCCCAATGAAGCTACAACAGGCTAAACCGTTGACCTTGATACAGGTCTATGCGCCAAATTTGGAGGGAGAACATATCTTCCTTGAGGAAGTGCAGAATGCTCTGCCTGAAGTGCCGAATACGGAGGCCCTCATAATCGTGGGCGATTTTAATGCGCATGTTCGAGTAGACGCTGAAAAGTGAAACGACTTGATTGGAAAAAAACGGCCCTAGCGACCTCAACAATAACGGCATGAAGCTGTTGCGGTTTTGTGCGAACAACGGGCTGTCCATTACGAACAGCTTCGAGCATCGAAAAGTGCATCAGTATACCTGGTACCGGGAAGCTTGTGCACAGAAGTCGATGATCGACTATTTGATAATCGTATCGTCTGACCTATGACGCTCAGTAATGGATGTTCGTGTTAAGAGAGGCACAGAGCTATTAAGCGATCACCACCTTGTTGTTGGCACCCTGCGCTGTAAGAAATGGAGTACCATACGAAGATCCGGTGGCAGAAGCAGCCGGAGAATCAAATGGGAAACATTCTCTTCGGTGGACACGACAGCGAAATTTGTAAACACATCGCATGGCTGTTTGAACAGATCCTGGTGATGATCACTGACGTGAAAACCGAGTGGCAACTCACTAAGAGTGTCATAATGGAGGCTGCCGCCGAATGCTGCGGATTCAAATGGGTTGGCCTGCCGGTGGATGTCAGAAAAGATATTTTGCTGCTGGACACCAGAGGTACAATTGACGTTTAAACAAAAGAAGGCAGCGTCCAAGAAATAGCTAGGGCGAAATCCAAAGCTGATTCCTGGGAGAAGTTCGGTGAGATGTTGAAGTAGAATTTCCACACGGTATAAATGCTACCTTCGGCGAGTGAGGTGAAAACAAGGGCGGTCTCAGAGTCTTGAAGGACAGGTTTGGACACCCTCTAACCAAGGATGATGACATTTTTCGGCGATGGAGGGAGTACTTTGAAGAAATGCTTAACCCCGTGCAACCGCAGGAAGACTCGCCTGTAGAGCACAGGGAACAGATTTTACAATCTATGTAGATGAAATTATACAAGCTGTGGAATGCTTGAAAAATGTAAAGGCTGCGGGAACTGACAAAATCCGCCCTGAGATGCTCAAGGTATGTTAATGGGAGTTACTGCACCCGTATTCAAGAAGGGAGACCACAAGGAATGCTCCAATCACAGGGGCATAACGTTATTGAGCCTCCCAGATAAAGTCTACGCAAAAAGGTTAGAAAGGAAGTACCGCGAAATAATTGACCTCAAGATACAAGTACAGCAGTGTGGCTTCCGGCCCGGTCGAAGCACATATGACCATATATTTGCCCTGCGCCAGATTGTTGAGAAATCTTGGGAGTACGCCCGTCCGGTGAACATGTGTATTGTTGACATAGAAAAAGCCTATGACCGGATCTCACGCAACGGTCTGTGGCCATGCCTTCGAGCATACGGAATAGATGACCAGCTGCTAAAGGCCATCCAATCACTGTATTCTGATAGCAGGTGCTGCGTCAGAGTAAATGGCGTTAAGTCGAAACCATTCAACGTTCGCACTGGTCCCCGCTAATGCTGCGTCCTGTCCTCTATCCTGTTTGTCTTGTACATGGATAGAATAGTCAAGCGCAGCCAAGGCTATGAGTATATGCGTGTAGGATGTGTGAAGACGAGAAGGCTGCTGTTTGCAAACGACCTTGTTGGTATCTTCTGAAACTGATTTACAGTGCCCCCTTGAAAGATTCGCAGCCGAGTGCGACGCGACCGGCATGCGTGTTGTGCTGAAAGCCTAGTGCTTTCTCGCTCCTGCATGTGCTCTCTTCAAAATAACGGAAAGGCAGTGGAGCTGGTGAAGAAGTTCAAGTACCTCAGAGTCGTATTTTCTAGTCATGGAAAATTTGAGAAAGAAATCGACCGGCGAAGTGGAGCAGCCAGTGGAGTGCTGCGTGAACTAGCCCGATCCAATGTGACTAAAGCAGAGTTCAGTCTGAAAACTAAACTCTCGGTGTTCAAGTCGATCATTATCTTCATGATTACCTACGGTCTCGAGTCGTGGACTATGGCTGAAAAGCTTCGAACCCGGGTACAAGTTGGTGAAATTGGCTTTCTTAGACGAGTCAATGGCCTTACGCGTCTCGACATGGTCCGGAATACTGACATCCGGGAGTACCTTGGTGTACAGCCTTCTCCAGATTCAGAAGTCACAACAGCGATAGTTTGGGCAGGTGCTGCGAATGGCTGCTGAAAGGAAGGCTAAGCAACTTTCTTTCGAAGCTGACTGGCAGAAGGCCTATGGGACGGCTAAGATTAATCTGGTGCAAATATATGGAAGGTGTCTGTTTCAGTCTCCAGTTGTCTTCTGGCGAAGCTCAGACTCTGGCACAAGATCGGGACCGTTAGATGCTCTGTCTGACGCGCCTGCCTCCGAGATCCGAAAAGAGAAGTGGCGAGGAAGATGATGGTGCTGATAACTGAACCAGCAAAATTCGTAACAAACAAAATTTACTGCAGAAAGTATATGTATGTGTGTATGTGCGCGCGCGTGTGTGAAGTATTAGTAAATGTTATTCTCCGTTATTAAATCGGTCTTTACGTTGTTCGTCCGTGTTGCACGCTGGCCCCTGATCGACATCTGCCATGCTTCGGCTTACGCACGAAGATCTCGAGGGCTGGAATAAATGAGTTTCTACTCAACCAGTTCGTCTAACAGTTAGCCTCCTTTTCTTAATTCCTACGTCTACTGAGATGGCATGTACTTTGAAGAGAACGGAGTCACTGCTTACGCGGTCTTACGATTTTACTCTCAATAAGCATCGAAACTATTGCTGCTGCATTCAGACATTCAACGGCAGAAAAAGAAACGTTCAAATGATATATTATACCTCTTCGTATTTAGTCCACTGATCCTTAGGCAAATATTCATGCTTCAAAGCCAGCTGCATCGCGCGCATAAGTCTGAATGCCCTAGCATCGTATTCTTGCGGCGGCAGACGGCGAATAGCTTCCTCCACGACATATTTTGATTCACTGTACGTATCATGCCACATAAGTCCTAAATGGGATATTAATCATTCAAAACTGTTAAAGACGTACAAGAAAGTTCTTAAGTTTACGAAAACTAACACAAATAGTTCACAATACAGAGAGCATGAAATACGAAGAGGCTATTGATTTTAAAAATAAATATTAGCACGTATTTTTGTGATTAAAAATATAGCGCCTAATTTAAGCGTACTAATTTATGGTTCAAACTACTTACAAATCTCTGGGGGGAATTTCGACTATATACACCAACCAAAGTAATTAAAACTTTCGTAGTTTACAAGGGGTTAGCATAAAGTAATAATCCGTTACGAAACAGGAATAAATGCGTGGATTAAAAAACACCGTACTACATTTCGAACAGCTCCTTTACTGCGCAAGACTAAAAATTTTCTTCAGGCATTAAAGCTTTGTTTCACTCAAATTTGCTCCTGAAAACCACAAGTTTTACTTTAAAATCATCTACTAACACTTTTTCCTTATAAAATATCTTAATATTCATCGAAAACGATAAATACATATCCGGGAATTCTCAAGGTATGCCCAGAAACGAACCGAAAGGTACATTCGAAATGTTGCTCACACGAATAGAAAAACTTAGGCAGAGTATTTACTTAACGAAAGATGACTTTCCGCAAGCGAAAGATCAATGCAATTATTTGTAGGGTTTAAATTGCAAATGTCATTGTTGCGATTATAGATTTATGCCATCATAAAACTGTGAAAGCCCAAGACCTGCAGTTTCCCATATTACAAGCAAATGTTGGACTGACTCAATGTCCCAGTTGGTGTATCAGCCTGGACAGATTCGAACTCGATTTGAACATGTCATTGCTGTCATTTATTGTAATTATCAGTTGATATTGCCACGTATGTTCCCATTTTAGTATTCTTGCCGGTGGAAAGCAGACAACGAAAACTTCTGGTAACATCTGTGCTCCGCATTTTCATGTTCTTCATGCTTTTGCGATCTAAGAGGCATTCTTGATGTTCTCTGCTCTCCACTTTCTGACGCCTTCAATTCAAAGTCGCTTGGATTTCCTTTCGGAATCACCCGTAAGTGGTCAGCCTGTTCAGAGAAAAGACAGAGCCACTAAATGATCTCACCGTGCCTTCAATGGAGATTAATACAGGCGGTGACCGACAATCCTTCTGTCGATGAAAAGCAGGACCAACAGATAATTCATATCAAACAGTTAATCATATAAAATATAGTATTTACATAAACAGTTAAATACAGAAGCACTCTGGAAAATACATAGTACGCCGCAAAATATGGCAGTTGCTGGCGAAAAATCATTCAGCTCCTCATCGACCTAAGAGATCTTTCGGTGGAAGATGCTCGGCATCTGAGCTTAGTTTAAGGTAAAAGTTGGTCACATCATTAATACAATGTGCAAATATTTCGAAACGCCTTTTACTGTTGAATTGGATGGGGAGAATTTTCATGCTGGGTATCGATGAGGTGTTACTTATTGCCACGTGTATAAGTATGGCGCACCATA